CGTGGGCTGGTCCATGAGGTCACGAAGAGTCGGAGACGACTGAACGAATGAACAACAACATATATATATATGTGTGTGTGTGTGTTTGTGTGTGTGTATATATCTATTAGGGAGATGGCAGCGGGGTATAAATAAAGTTTTATTATTATTATTATTATTATTATTATTATTATTATATTCCGCTGACATTAAGTCATTAAGGTCCTATCAATGGTGTCGCCAATTGACAGGATCTTATTGTATCACCATCTATGGAGAATGCCTGTATATATATAAAATAATAATACAATAATAATATTAGGAATATATAATATAATAATAATAATTTATTATCATTATTATTATTATTATTATATATTACTAATAGAATAATACATTATTATATATATTACTAATATAATAATAATTTATAATATATATATATTATATTATAATATATATAATATATCCTCTCACTTCCTGTTGTCTCAACCGTGTTCTTAACTAGGAATCATTCATAAGTTGGATGTTTGTAACTCGGGAACGGCCCGTATTAATTTTGCTTCTGGAGCAATCATCCAGTATCCTGCCTTATCTCTTAAAAAGCAATGCCGCATGGCCGACCCAGCATTCCTGCATCATATGTTTCCTTACATAATGGCTCATGGGGATGATGGGAGTTGCAGTCCAGCCACGTTTGGGGAGCCAGACCTCCTCCTTTCCAGCTTGCGCTTCCCTTGTGTTTGAGACGGAGAACCCATTGCCTTCTAAACCCCGTGGCTTGCATCCCAATGATAATCGTACCCGTCCTTTCTGCGACGATGCTCTTTTCCTTTGTTGATTATTACGAGTATTTGCATTATTTTGGAAGCAACTCGGCTCCCCTCTGGACAGACACGGGGTTATTTTTAGCCCCTTCTGATGATGTCACGGTTTTTCCCTCTTAGCCATTTGGATGGTGGAGAAGCCAGAAAGCTGGGACGGGGAGGAGAGAAGGACGCAAGTGTTTGGCTTTCGTAATACGGGGGGGGGGGGGGGGGGGGGGGGGGGGCTTGGCAAACAGCACCCTCTCCCCCTTGACTTTCTGCAAAGTTCCCAGGCATTTCCAAATGGGCCTTGCAAGCTGCGTCTCATGTTGAGAACAAGGCTGTGATGTGTCCCTCTCCCATGTAGAAGAGACCCTTCCTCTGCTCCAAGTTGCATCTACATTGAGGAACGAATGCAGCTTGGCCCCACTTGAAGGGCCCTGGCTCAAGGCCCTGGGACCCTGGGAGCTGCATGAGGAGTCCACTTGATGGAATCCGTCTGAGCAATTAGCAAACCAGATGCAAATGATACTTTAGGTTGGAACGCTTTAGTTTAGACAAAGTCAAAAGTCACCAGCAGATTTCCATTCAGTGGTTGGTTCCTTCAAAGTCTCCAATAACAATAACAATCTCTACTGGGTCTTCTTCACTAACATGCATGGCGCAGGGCAGGTCTTCCTTCACAATAGCCCCCTTACTTCCTTCCTTCTTTCCTTCCTTTTTTTCCTTCCTTCCTTCCTTCCTTCTTTCTTTTTATTTACTATATTTCTATCCCACCTTTCTCAAGGCGGTTTACAGCACATAATTCAATGCCTTCAAAACAATATACATCCAATATGCCATTACATAAACATTTCAATTAAAAATGTAAACAAGATGAAGAGCATTCAAACATATAAATCATTGCAATTACAACTATAAAACCACATTATCTGCAATCTTCTTTCCTTCCTTCCTTCCTTTCTTCTCCTCTTCCTTCCTTTCCCTCCCTTCCTCCTTTTCCTTCCTTCCCCCTCCGTCCTCTTTCTTTCTTTCTTTCCTCCCCTCCTTCCTTCCTTCCTTCTTCCCTTCCTTCCTTCTTTCTTGTCTTCCCTCCCTCCCTTCCTTCTTTCCTCCCTCCCTACCCTTCCTTCCATCCTCTTTTCTTTCCTTCTTTTTTCCCCTTTTTTCCTTCCTTCCTTCTTTCCTTCCATTTCTTTTTTTCCTTTCCCCTGCCCTCTCTTCCTTCTTTCCTCCCTCCCTTCCTTCATTCCTTTTTTTCTTCCTTCTTTCCTTCCTTCTGTCCATCTTTCTTTCCTTTCTTTCCTCCGCCCTCTCTTCCTTCCCTCCCTCTCTTCCTTCTTTCCTTTTTCCCTCCCTCCCTTCTTTCCTCCCTCCCTTCCTACCCTTCCTTCCATCCTCTTTTTTTCCTTCCTTCTTTCCTTCCTTCCGTCCGACTTTCTTTTCCTTTCTTCTTTTCCTCTCCTCTTCCTTCTTCCTTTTCCCTTTCCATCCTTCCTTCTTCCTTCCTTCTTTCTTCCTTCTCTTCTTTCCTCCCTTCTCTTCCTCCCTCCCTCTCTTCCCTTCCTTCCTTCCCTCCTTCTTCTCTTTCCTTCTTTCCTCCCTCCCTCTCTTCTTCCTTCTTCTCCCTCTTTCTTTCTCTCTCTTTCTCTCCCCTTCCTTTCCTTTTCTCCTCCCCCCCTCCTTCCTTTTTTTCCTTCCTTCTTTCCTCTCTTCCTTCCTCCCACCTTCCTTCCATTCTTCTTTCCTTCCCCCTCTCTCCTCCTCCTCCCTCCTCCTTTTCTTTCCCTCCCTTCCTTCTTCCCTTCCTTCTTCCTCTCTTTCTTTCCTCCCCTCTCTGTCTTCCTTCTTTCCTTCCTTCTGTCTTTCCTTCTTTTCCTCCCTTCCTTCTTTCCTTCCTCTCTCCCTCTTTCTCTTCTCTTTCCTCGCCTTCCTTTGCCTTCTCTTGCCTTTCCTCTTTTCCTTCCTTCTTTCCTCCCTCTCTTCTTTCCTTCCTTTCTCCCTCTTTCTTTCTCTTCTCTTTCCTCCCCTTCCTTTGCCTTCCCTCCCCCCCCCCTTCTTTTTTCCTTCCTTCTTTCCTCTCTTCCTTCCTCCCACCTTCCTTCCTTCCTTCCTTCCATTTTCTTTCTTTCCTCCCCCTCTCTTCCTCCTCCTTCCCTCCCTTCTTTTTTCCCTTCCTTCCTTCTTCCCTTCCTTCTTCCTCCTTGTCTTTCTTTCCTCCCCCCCTCTGTCTTCCTTCTTTCCTCCCTTCCTTCTTTCCTTCCTCTCTCCCTCTTTCTCTTCTCTTTCCTCGCCTTCCTTTGCCTTCTCTTGCCTTTCCTCTTTTCCTTCCTTCCTTCCTCTTTCTTTCTCTTCTCTTTCCTCCTCTTCCTTTTCTCTTTTCCTTTCCTCCCTCCCCTTTCTTCCTTCCCTCCCTTCTTCCCTCCCTCTTTCTTTCTCTTTCTCCCTCCCTCCCTCCCTCCCTTCCTCCCTTCCTCTTGCCCTTGAGCCTCCAGGTAGCATTCCATCTGAGGCTCCCATAGCAACCTGGGCTTTCTTTGCAGAACTGGCCTGCCGGGACCAGCCTACGGATCTGGCGCTTGAATAGCCCTGCGAGGAGGAGGAGGAGGAGGAGGAGTGCGCTTGGGAAAGGGGAGCGGACTCTGCTACGCGTGTTGAGCGCAAGGCTGCCTCCTTCCTCCTCCGCCCGAGCCTCACCTGCTGGGCTTTGCACTCACTCTTTCTTCCAGTTGTTATTATTTTATTATTGTCATTGTTGCTGGGTTTTGGTAGGTTTTTCGGGCTATATGGCCATGTTCTAGAAGCATTCTCTCCTGACGTTTTGCCTGCATCCATGGCAAGCATCCGGCAAGCATACCAAAACCCAGTAATTCCAGCCATGAAAGCTTTCGACGATGTTGTTTTTCTCTCCCTCCTTTAGAGTTTTATCCAGATCGGCTTTGAGGAGAGCCCTCAGCAACTGCCCGCAGTGACCATCAACCAGCTGACCTGCACAAACCGCTCGGACCGCAGCATGGTGAGTGGGGGCTTCCTGCACTACTCTTGGACTCAATGGGCCCAGTCCCGGCCCTTCTTCTTGGGTCATTTCTATTTCCAAACGTTGAACGCAGTACCTGAACTCACCTGTGCCTTTTCCCAAATGCGAGGCCTGTGAAGGTGACACTCTGCACATGACCAGAGGGGTTTTTCTCACCCAACCTAAGTTTCCATTGCATTTGCATAAATATGAGACCTGGATGAAGAAGCCCAGATGTTTTACCATCCTTGTGGGAGGCTTCTCTTAAGTCAGCTGGAGCTGACAGAGGGAGCTCATCCACGGTCTCCCCGGATTCAAACCTTGGGTTTAACCCATTGCATTTACAAGACCTGGAAGAAGAAGAAGCCCAGATGTTTTGATGTTTTGCCATCCTTGTGGGAGGCTTCTCTTATGTCAGCTGGAGCTGACAGAGGGAGCTCATCTGGACTCTCCCCGGATTCAAGCCTTCAGTCCTGCCGGCACAAGGATTTAACCCATTGCATTTACGAGACCTAGAAGAAGAAGCCCAGTTGTTTTGCCATCCTTGTGGGAGGCTTCTCTTATGTCAGCTGGTGCTGACAGAGGGAGCTCATCCGCACTCTCCCCGGCTTCGAACCTTCAGTCCTGCTGGCACAAGGGTTTAACCCATTGTATGTATGAGACCTGGAAGAAGAAGAAGCCCAGATGTTTTGCCATCCTTGTGGGAGGCTTCTCTTATGTCAGCTAGAGCTGACAGTGGGAGCTCATCCATGCTATCCCCAGATTCAAACATTCATTCCTGCCGGCACAAGGGTTTAACCCATTGCGTTTACGAGACCTGGAAGAAGAAGAAGCCCAGATGTTTTGCCATCCTTGTGGGAGGCTTCTCTTATGTCAGCTGGAGCTGACAGAGGGAGCTCATCTGCGCTCTCCCCGGCTTCGAACCTTCAGTCCTGCTGGCACAAGGGTTTAACCCATTGCATTTATGAGACCTGGAAGAAGAAGAAGCCCAGATGTTTTGCCATCCTTGTGGGAGGCTTCTCTTATGTCAGCTGGAGCTGACAGAGGGAGCTCATCCGCGCTCTCCCCGGATTCAAACCTTCAGTCCTGCTGGCACAAGGGTTTAACCCACTGGAGTCTCCTACTTTCAAACTAGGAATGCTAGAATGCCATAGGCGGACCTTTTGCAAACAACGTGATTGTGCTAATTGCCATGGCTTGGTGCATTTGCATATAGTATTGCATTTGCATTGATTCCTTGACACTGCCCCCTAAGTAGGAGGGGGGTGCAGAGGAGGCCCCTTCCTCTCCTGTGCACTGGGGTTGCCTTGACCCTCCCTCTTTTTCCCTTTTTCCAGACCTTCCGCTGCGACCTCTCCACCGACAGCGTCCAGTTCCCCGTCTCGGTCACTCAGCAGAGTCCGGCCGCTGTTTCCATGGACACCTACCAGGTCATTCTGGCCGTGTTTCGGGCCCAGGTAATGGAGGAGTGGGTCAAGGGCGGCTTTGGGGTCTCCCTCCTGTTTTTCCCCTCTCTGCTCCTTTCTCTGCCTCGTTATGCATTCTGATTGGATAATTACTCTATCCCGTTGTTGTCGGCTCGCAGTTAGATCAGGCGTGGACCCTCTGAGTGTTTTGGACTTCAACTCCCACACTTCCTAACATCGAAGTAGATAGAGGGATGGATGGATGTAAAGATAGTAATTTATTTGTTTGATGTATTGTCGAAGGCTTTCATGGCTGGAATCACTAGGTTCTTGTGGGGTTTTTTCGGGCTATAGAGCCATGTTCTAGAGGCATTCTCTCCTGACGTTTCGCCTGCATCTATGGCAAGCATCCTCAGAGGTAGTGAGGTCTGTTGGAATTGGGACAATGGGTTTATATATCTGTGGAATGGCTGGGGTGGGGCAAAGAGCTCTTCTCTGCTGGAGCTAAGTGTGAATGTTTCAGCTGATCACCTTCATTAGCATTTGAATGAAGCATCTGCCTGAGCCTGGGAAAATCTCTTGTTGAGAGGTGTTAAGATATGCCTGGTTGTTTCCTCTCTGCTGTTTTGCTGTTGCAATTTTAGAATTTTTTTTAAATACTGGTAGCCAGATTTTGTTCATTTTCATGGTCTCTTCCTTTCTGTTGAAATTGTCCACATTGAAATCCACAAGGATGTGGACAATTTCAGCAGAAAGGAAGAGACCATGAAAATGAACAAAATCTGGCTACCAGTATTAAAAAACTCCAAAATTACAACAGCAAAATAATAGAGAGGAAACAACCAGGCACATCTTAACACCCATCAGCAAGAGATTTTCCCAGGCTCAGCCAGGCCTTCAAATGCTAATGAAGGTGGTCAGTTGAAACATTCACACCTAGCTCCAACAGACAAGAGTCCTTTGTCCCACCCTGGTCTTTCCACAGATATATAAGCCCATTTTTCCTAATTCCAACAGACCTTCTCAACCTCTGAGGATGCTTGCCATAGATGCAGGCGAAACGTCAGGAGAAATGCCTCTAGAACATGGCCATACAGCCCGCAAAAACCCACAAGAACCTAATTTACTTGTTTGTTTGTTTGTTTGTTTACAGTATTTATATTCGGCCCTTCTCCTCACCCCGCAGGGGACTCAGGGCAGATTACAATGTACATTTACATGGCAAACATTCAATGCCATAGACACACAACAGATATAGGCAGACACTCAGACACTGTTTGGTTTGCTCCTGACATGATAAATAAATATAGCTGACCATACTTGTTGTCCTATTGTCTAGTAGCTTCATCCATGTCACAGTTTCCTGATATTTCGTGTGACCGTAGTGCTCGCCAGGTCAGGTCATGGGGAACCCAATCAAACACTTTCTCAAGGTCAAGGAATGCAAAGTGCAGTGGTTCCTTCTTTTCCCGGTGTTTTTCCATGAGCATCCGGACAGCATGTTTTGCATTTATTGTGCCACACCCCTTGAGAAAACCACAAACAAGGCACCTGGAGGGAGGGGCAAAGTGGGCCCGTCGTGCCTGAGTCAGGTGCAAGAGAGAAGGATGTTCCCTGGGAGTCCCAACTGACGCCGATGTGTTGGTCTTGTTTCTTTTCCGGATGCAGCTGGAGATCCGTTTGGAGGAAATCCAGGACGAGGGGCTGCTGGTCTCCTGGGCCTTTCAGGACCGCCCGGAGTTGGACATCTCGGTGACCCCGCGGATCCAGTTGCACGAAGTGAGCAGAAAGGGAGAGGGGAAACTGTGAGGGATCCCCAAAAAATGGTAGTACTGAAATTCCTTTGCAATTTGCAGAGGCTTGTAGCAGAGCGTGCCTTTTTCTGTGCTCCTTGCCACGTTGCTAGGGCTCTACCTTGTTTAGGTAGAGATGAATCAAAACTCCCAGTTTTAACAGTTTAATTAAAACAGCACTTACTTGCCGGCTGTTTTTATAGTCCAAAATATAAAACACAAAGATAGCACACAGCTACAGAATAAACAAAAACTGATAGCAAACATAGTTTGTAGTCAAAAGGGTCCAGTCCAGTGGTCAAATGCCGAGAGTTCAATAAACAAAATCCAGGGAGCAAGAGTCTATAGTCAAAAGCCAGTCCAAAGGTTCAAGGTTCCAGGATTCCAAGATTACAGGAGACAGGTCAGGATACCGAAAATCCAACAGACCTGGGGGGAAAAACCAGCAGCGTCCACCACCAAAATACAACATACTATTCTCCCAAAGTCTCAAAGTTAGCTCCTTAAATCCAGTAACACCCAGCTGCAACCCATCTCCTGCACACCTCCACCCTTAATTGCTGTTACATGTAAACTGTTACTTGCAAACTACTCAGCCCTTTAGAACCAGGACTTACATTAACCCTTCCATCACCAACTGCCAGGTCTACCACCATCAACTATGGAACATACGACACTCCTCTGCTGCTGTTTTCTCCCTGCTCCAAATCAAAAGCACCCTGGACCACTGAGGTCTTTCTCTCTCTCTCTCACCCTTGGAAGCTCATTGTTTATTATTGTGACAGCTTATTTACAAACAACTTGCTGATCGGACAGTTGCAGCAGGAGATCAATAGTAAAAGAGAACGATCGACCGCATAGTCATTGCTTATAACAGACCCCTAATAATAATAATAATAATAATAATAATAATAATAATAATAATAATAATCTTTATTTATACCCCGCCATCATCTCCCCGATGGGGACTCGGAGCGGCTTATGTGGGGCTTTACTTACTTACCTACTTTACTTACTTAGGTGATCCCTCGTAGTCCGAGGATGATGGTCCTCCAAGTTCGGTGTCCTGGGGGTGGGTCTGTAGGTGGCTGCGGAGCCCTATTCTTGATCTGCACGTTCTCCCACAGTGAGGACATTGGTTTCCAGGTGGAAGGCGGTCTCGGTCGGGGTTGGCTTGACGCGCCTTCCTCTTGGCACGTTTCTCTCTTTCGCCCACCATTTGTGCCTCTTCAAATTCTGCAGCACTGCTGGTCACAACTGACCTCCAGCTGGAGCGCTCAAGGGCCAGGGCTTCCCAGTTCTCAGTGTCTATGCCAGAGTTTTGAAGTCCATCTTTCAATCTCTTTTCTTGCCCTCCAACATTCCATTTTCTTGAGTTCGGAGGAAAGCAACTGCTTTGGAAGACGGTGGTCGGGCATCCGGACAACGTGGCCAGTCCAGCGGAGTTGATAGTGGAGGACCATCGCTTCAGTGCTGGTGGTCTTTGCTTCTTCTTCCAGCACGCTGTTGTTTCCCTGCCTGTCTTCCCAAGAGATTTGCAGGATTTTCTGGAGGCAGCACTGATGGAATCGTTCCAGGTGTTGCATGTGACATCTGTAGACAGTCCACATTTCACAGGCGTATAGCAGGGTTGCGGACAAGCCCGGACAACATATTGCATCAAGATAAAACCAAAACATAAGCAACAAGCAACATCATCAAAATTACATTAAAAAATTCAATAACAAAAATATTGTTGCAATAAACAAAAAACACAGACATAGTAAACAGTGGGCGGGCCACATGTACAGGATAAAATATTAAAAACTATAATGAGATAAAATAGGATTAAGTTATTTGCCGGGAGCTCATAAAGAAACACAGGGATGTGAAACTAAACTTCCCATTTGGGGGGGCATGTATTCCAGTGATGATGATGATGATGATGATGATTATTATCTTCAGTCACGACCCACAGACATGATGTTCCAGTGATTATTATTATTATTATTATTATTATTATTAATATTATCTTGAGTCACGACCTACAGACATGATGTTCCTTGACCGGAGGTGTCGTCCTGGTCTGACCTTTCTAGGCACTCACTCAGGCATCTTAATTAACCCTTTGATTGATTGATTGTGTTAGAAGTGATTTGAGGATACAGTTGTAATGTATTGTTTACTATCAATCTCCTGCTGAGACTGGCCTGTAAGTAGTTTGCAAATAAGCTGTGACAATAATAGTGGGCCACCAAAGGTGGGATATGACATTAATGGAAACACACCTGGGGCTCCCCGGGCAGGCACAGAACCTTTTAACCGGCCATTGCGCCCCAATTCCCGGGACTTTTTGAGGAAGTAAGCCCCCCAACCGTGTTGACTTTTCTCTGGATGCTGCAGGACGACGACAGGAGAGTGGACCAGTCCATCATAAGGGACCTGATTGAGGACTCGGTCATCAGCACCCAACCGGCCATGATGGTCAACCTGAAGGCCTGCATCACGGGGGGCAACCTGGTGAGCAGCAGCAGGAGGAGGAGGATATTATTTAGCATTAGTAGTAGTATTCATTAGTACATTATGTAACATGATTCTGTAATAATATTATTACAGAATCAGGAAATAATTGTTCTATAATTCTGGAATAATATTATTTCAAGTATTTATTATTATTAATATTAATTATTGCACTATGAAACACGATTCTGTAATAATGAATCAGAAAATCATGGTTCTATGATTCTGTAATAAAAATATTATTATTTTAAGTATTTATTATTATTAATATTAATTATTGCACTATGGAACATGATTCTGTAATAATATTATTATAGAATCCTATAATATTTGTTCTATGATTCTGTAATAATCATAATATTTTAAGTATTTATTATTATTAGTATTAATTATTGCACTATGGAACACGATTATTACAGAATCAGAAAATCATTGTTCTATGATTCTGTAATAAAAATATTATTATTTTAAGTATTTATTATTGTTGTTATTAATTATTGCATTATGGAGCACAATTCTGTAATAATATTATTATAGAATCCTACAATAATTGTTCTATGATTCTGTAATAATAATATTATTATTTAAAGTATTTATTATTATTAATATTAATTATTGCACTATGTAACACGATTCTGTAATAATATTAGTACAGAATCAGAAAATAATTGTTCTATGATTCTGTAATAATAATATTATTTTAAGTATTTATTAATATTAATTATTGTACTATGTAGCGCGATTCTTTAATGATATTATTATAGAATCCTACAATAATTGTTCTATGATTCTGTAATAATAATATTATTAAGTATTATTATCATTATTAATTATTGTACTATGTAACATGATAAGAGCTGCAGTTGCACAATGGATTAAACCCTTGTGCGGGCTGGACTGCTGACCTGAAGTTTGCCAGTTCGAATCCACGAGACAGGGTGAGCTCTCATCTGTCAGCTCTATCTTTCGGGGACATGGGAGAAACCTCCGAACAGGATGGTAACACATCTGGGCAACATCTCTGTAGACGGCCAATTCTCTCACACCAGAAGCGACTTGCAATATGTTCTCAAGTCGCTTCTGACATGATAAAAAAGATGTAGCACAATTTTTGTTTCTGTTATAAATATGATTTCCTAATTGGTTGTATCTTAAAAACATGGGAAAAGTTTATTATTCTGCACAAACTTTGTTTTTGCAGGAGGAAGTTCACATTATATTATTATATTATATATTGTATTATATTATAATTATTTTTATATACTTATATTATACTACATGATACCATTTCTGTTCCTTTTCTCTGCAGCCGTCTTGCAGCAGGCTTTCGCCAGGGCCTCGCTCTGGTCCGGCGGCCAAACTGGTCTTGCATCGCGTCCGAGGGCTGCGCTTGGGATCCGAAGATGCGCCAGGTGTGTTTGGCGAAGGGAGGAAGAAGGGTTTAGAACGGGCCTGGGCCAACTTTGGCCCTCCCTCCAGGTGTTTTGGGCTGTTTTCAACCAGGATGCATTAATTTGTGACCATATGCCTGCCATTGTCAAATCAATATTATTTCTTCATTGGCAGCCATTCGATGCCATACAGTACACAATGAAAATACTAATAACATAAATTAAATGCAGATAATTAAAACAACATGTAAACAAATCAATAAAATACACATGACCGGGCTGTGGCGCTGCTAGTTAGTAGCCAGCTGCATTAAATCACTACTGACCGAGCAGTCATGAGTTCGAAGCCAGCCCGGGTCGGAGTGAGCTCCCGACCATTAATAGTCTAGCTTGCTGTTGACCTAAGCAGCCTGGAAGACAGTTGCATTTGTCAAGTAGGAAATTTAGGTACCCCCTTCATGTGGGGAGGCTAATTTAACTAATTTACGACACCATAAAACCTTCCAGCAGTGTGCGTAAGAATGAGGAAGTACTCCATCAAAGACTCGGTTTCACAAGTGGATGGTGAAGTGACAGCTCCCCCTGTGGCCGGAATCGAGCATAACCTCATGAAGCCGGAAAAGCTGGAATGTTAAATTGCCTCTGTGTCTGTCTGTATATGTTGTATGTCTAAATGCACATGTATATGTGCATTCTAATCCGCTCTGAGTCCTCTGCAAGTCAAGAAAGGCAGAATATAAATACTGTAAATAAATAAACAAACAAACAAACATGACAACAGTGATTAAAAAGAGTTTTAAAAACCCAGTCGGTAGATTAAACTCCTAACCGCAACTGTCAGTGGTGTCGCCAATTGATAGGACCTTATTGTGTCACCATCTATGGAGGCTGCCTGTATATATAATAATAATAATAATAATAATAATAATAATAATAATAATATACAATATAATAATACTAATAATATATAAGATTCCTCTCACTTCCTGTGGTCTCAGCCCCCATGTTCTTAACTAGGAGTTGTTTGTAACTCGGGGATGGCCTGTATAATATAAAATAATAATAATAATATTATAATAATACTAATAATATATAATATAATAATACTAATAATATATAAGATTCCTCTCACTTCCTGTGGTCTCAGCCCCCATGTTCTTAACAAGGAGTTGTTTGTAACTCGGGGACGGCCTGTATAATATAAAATAATAATAATATAACAATAATACTAATAATATATAATATAATAATACTAATAATATATAAGATTCCTCTCACTTCTTGTGGTCTCAGCCCCCATGTTCTTAACTAGGAGTTGTTTGTAACTCGGGGATGGCCTGTATAATATAAAATAATAATAATAATATAATAATAATACTAATAATATATAAGATTCCTCTCACTTCCTGTGGTCTCAGCCCCCATGTTCTTAACAAGGAGTTGTTTGTAACTCGGGGATGGCCTGTATAATATAAAATAATAATAATAATACTAATAATATATAATATAATAATACTAATAATATATAAGATTCCTCTCACTTCCTGTGGTCTCAGCCCCCATGTTCTTAACTAGGAGTTGTTTGTAACTCGGGGACGGCCTGTATAATATAAAATAATAATGATATAATAATAATACTAATAATATATAATATAATAATACTAATAATATATAAGATTCCTCTCACTTCCTGTGGTCTCAGCCCCCATGTTCTTAACTAGGAGTTGTTTGTAACTCAGGGATGGCCTGTGTGTGTGTGTGTGTATATATATATATATACAATAATATGAATATTATATAATATTTTATTAATATATACAAATACTAATAATATAGATAGATGAGATTCACATAGAAATGAATAGATGGATAAATAGATAGAATGGATGTGATGGATAGATAGGATAGATAGAATGGATGGATAGGATAGGATAGATAAACAGATCGATTGATTGATTGATTGGATGGATGGATGGATAGGATAGGATGGATAGACAGGAAAAACAGACAGACAGGTATGGAAAAACAGACAGACAGATAGATAGAGAAGGTTGTTAGGAGTTGTGGGAGTTGGAGTCCAAAACACCTGGAGAGAAGGTTGAAGTTGGCCTAGGCCTGTTTGGGAGGCCGTGCCGGACCCTGACCAATCCTAACGGACTTCTGCTTTGCAGGGAGCCGGGATCTGTGCTGCGCGGTGGAGCTGGACAGCCCTCGGCAGCAGAAGCGGACCAAGGCGGTGCCGTCCAGCGGCTCAAGCCCTGCAGCCGAGGTGGAGTGGCCGGACAAGCTGGTTCTGTAAGGGGCTGCTGGTTTTGCATCTTTGGGTTGTTGTGTGCATTTCTAATCGGAGGGAGAGAGGTTTGGCACTGAGCAGATCCGTCTTCCCAATCTGCATCCAAAATGAGCATCCTTGTCCTGCCCCTCAACACCCAAAGCGGAGTCGTTCCTCTCCTTATTTATCATCATCATCATCATAATATATAGTAATAATAAAAATAATACTATATAATAATAATAATAATAATAATAATAATAATAATAATAATATATAGTAATAATATTATAATAATATATCGTAAGAATAGATACATAGCTGCTAATGCTTTTATGTCAAGCCGCTTTGAGTCCCCTTTGGGATTCGTTTGTGGGATTAGAACTCAAAAACCACTGGGCGAATTGACACGAATCCTGACATTTGGGAGCTGTAGTTGCTGGGATTTATAGTTCACCTAAAATCACAGAGCATTCTGAATCCCACCAACAATGGAATTGAACCAAACTTGCCACACCGTTCTCCCCTGACCAACAGAAAATACTGGAAGGGTTTGGTGGGCAGTGTCCTTTGGTTTTGGAGTTGTAGTTCACCTACATCCAGAGATCTCTGTGCACTCAAACAATGATGGATCTGGACCAAACTCTACACGAATACTCAATATGCCCAAATGTGAACACTGGAGGAGTTTGGGGGAAATAGAATCTTGACATTTGGGAGTTGTAATTGCTGGGATTTATAGTTCACCTACAATCAAAGAGCATTCTGAACCTCACAAACGACAGAATTGGGGCAAACTTGACAGACAGAACTCCCACAACCAATAGAACATACTGGAAGGGTTTGGTGGGCAGTGTCCTTTGGTTTTGGAGTTGTAGTTCACCTACATCCAGAGATCACTATGGACTCAAACAATGATGGATCTGCACCAAACTCTACACGAATACTCAATATGTCCAAATGTGAACACTGGTGGAGTTTGGGGGAAATAGAATCTTGACATTTGGGAGTTGTAGTTGCTGGGATTTATAGTTCACCTACAATCAAAGAGCATTCTGAACCCCACCAACGATAAAATTGGGCCAAAACTCCCACACAAAACCCCCATGTGGGCCACAGCAACGCGTGGCAGGGGACGGCTAGTAAATAATAAAATATAATAATGATAGAATTTTAATTATATCCCACACTATCTCTCTCCCTTCTGTCTGGACAGGGATCTTGGCCCGCGGAGCAAAGAGGTGAAGCTCAGCATCCTTTGCAGCAGCAGCAACAGCAACAGGAATGGCCCCGGAGAAGGTATGTACACACCGAAAAGGATGTAGGCACACACAGAGTCTGTACATTAGTGACACAGACAAAATATTACATTTTGCTCAGCATCCACACATATCATATCATATATACAATATAATAATATAGAGACATAATAACATTGTAATGTAGCAATACTAATATAAATATATATATACTACAACTTATGATATAGTACAATATATTATATAATAGTAATAGTATAATATACTGGTAGTTTATATTATATATATTGTGGTATAACAATATTGTACTATATAATAATAATGTATTATACTAGCCATCCCCTGCCACACGTTGCTGTGGCCCAGTCTGTGTATATGTGTTTTGTGTGTGCGTATGTGTGTAGATATGTGGTTTTACACATGCTTTGTGTTGTGTTTTTTATTTTTTGGCTTCTTAAGCCTCTATTGCTGTTTTTTTATGAGTGATGGTCACTCATTGGCCTGACACATGTCTTGTGTCCAAATTTGGTGTCAATTCATCCAGTGGTTTTTGAGTTATGTTGATCCCACAAACCAACATTACATTTTGATTTATATAGCTAATAATTGTATATTATATAATACATGTAATATTACTAATAATATTGCAGTATAGTGGTATAATTGCCCCTGGTGGTGTATCAGGTTAACCACTGAGCTGCTGAACTTGCTGACCAAAAGGTTGGCAGTTCAAATCCATGGAGCGGGGTGAGCTCCCGCTGTTAGCCCCAGCTTCTGCCAACTTAGCTGTTGGAAAACATGCAAATGTGAGTAGATCAAGTAATGGCGCTCCATGCAGTCTTGCGGGCCAATGGTTTTTTGAGTTATGTTGATCCCACAAACATTACATTTTTATTTATATAGCTAATAATTGTATATTATATAATACATGTAATATTACTAATAATATTGCAGTATAGTGATATAATTGCCCCCGGTGGTGCAGCGGGTTAACCGCTGAGCTGCTGAACTTGCTGACCAAAAGGTCGGCAGTTTGAATCCAGGGAGAAGGGTGAGCTCCCGCTGTTAGCCCCAGCTTCTGCCAACCTAGCATTTGGAAAACATGCAAATGTGAGATCAATAGGTACCGCTTCTGCGGGAAAGTAACGGCGCTCCATGCCGTCTTGCCGGCCAATGGTTTTTGAGTTATGTTGATCCCACAAACCAACATTACATTTTTATTTATATAGCTAATAATTGTATATTATATAATACATGTAATATTACTAATAATATTGCAGTATAGTGGTATAAGTGTCCCCAGTGGTTCAGCGGGTTAACCGCTGAGCTGCTGAACTTGCTGACCAAAAGGTTGGCAGTTTGAATCCATGGAGAAGGGTGAGCTCCCGCCGTTAGCCCCAGCTTCTGCCAACCCAGTTGTTGGAAAACATGCAAATGTGAGTAGATCAATAGGTACTGCTTCTGTGGGAAGGTAATGGCGCTCCATGCAGTCATGCTGAGGCATCCTGCATACATGCATGCATGCATAGATGCATCCATGCAGTCACCTCCAAGGCTGACTGCATGGCCTTGGAGGTGTCTATGAACAACGCTGGCTCTTCAGCTTAGAAATGGAGATGAGCACCAGAATCCCAGAGTCAGACACAACTAGACTTAATGTCAAGGGGAAACCTTTACCTATAGTGGTATACTACAATATAATAATATATAATATTAATGTTGTGCTACGCTAATACATCTAATATTGATAATAATATTATAATGTTATTTATTATGGCATAATAATATAGTATAATATAATATATAGTAATTGTATATCATATATATTGCCTATAATATTGCTACTAATATTGCAGTATTGATGGGCCTCCCTTTCTTTCTCTCTGATAGAGGTGCTCCTGGGGTTTGCAGCCATCCCGCTGAGCTGCCCCTCCAAAGACCCCCGCGATCATCATCCTCATCATCCTCTGCCGCAGCAGCAGCAGCAGGTCTTCTCCCTCCGGCCCGGCCCTCACCAGAGGCTTCCTCCGGATGCTGCTGTCGCCCTCGAGGTGAGCACAACAAAGGCACCCTTCCAGGATTGTTCAGTATGTGGACAGCACAAATCCCCCCCACACACACCCCCCACACACACACAATTTGGACAATACTTGCAATGCTCACACCGTGTTCCTGAGGCTATTATTATTATGATCACAAAGGAGACTCAAAGCGGCTATATATCTATTATTATTATTATTATTATTATTATTATTATTTTATTATTAAAAATAAACATTATTATGCTTATTTACACCCTGCTTTTTCTCTCCATAAGGAGACTCAAAGCAGCTATGTATCTATTATTATTATTATTATTATATTATTAATAATAAACATTACTATGTTTATTTACACCCTGCTTTTTCTCTCCATATAGACTCAAAGCAGCTATGTATCTATTATTATTAGTATTAATATTATTATTTTATTATTAATAATAAACATTATTATGTTTATTTACACCCTGATTTTTCTCTCCATAAGGAGACTCAAAGCAGCTATGTGTCTATTATTAATATTAGAATATATTAGAATGTATTATTATTATTATTGATATGCACAAAGGAGACACAAAGCAGCTATGTATCTATTATTAATATTATTATTTTATTATTAAAAATAAATATTATTATGCTTATTTACACCCTGCTTTTTCTCTCCATAAGGACTCAAAGCAGCTATGTATCTATTATTAGTATTATTATCATTTTATTATCACAAATAAATATTATTTTGTTTATTTACATCCTGATTTTTCTCTCCATAAGGAGACTCAAAGCAGCTATGTGTCTATTATTAATATTAGAATATATTATAATGTATTATTATTATTATTGATATGCACAAAGGAGACACAAAGCAGCTATGTATCTATTAGGCCTGGGTAACAACGGAAAAATTTGTTTCTAAAATCGATTTGTATTTGGGGTTTTTTTTTGTTTCGATATTTAAAATAATTACAAAATTTTCCTTTTAAAAAGTTCGATATTTACGAAATTTCGTAAATGGTAAAAAATTAACGAATCGATTTCCGAAACAATAACGAATCGATTCGTTAATGGCGGACGCGACCGCGAAATACGCTAAAAAACCTCCAAAACCTTCTGAAGCTTCCCTCTCCCTCTGTTGTTGACTGTTGGTGTGATATTATAATTTTTTTTCACTAATTAAACCATAAAACTGGCCCAGACATGCGGAAATAATAACGAAACGACCTCAAAACAATAACGAAACGAATACAATATCGAAATACGAAGCATTTACAAAACGTTTTTGAAAATTCGTTTTTTTTAATAATTGCTCCAGAATGGTTCGTTATCGTTTTGTAATTGAAAAAATTTAACGAATTACGAATTAACGAAACGAAACCGCCCAGCCCTAGTATCTATTATTAATATTATTATTTTATTATTAAAAATAAATATTATTATGTTTATTTACACCCTGATTTTTCTCTCCATAAGGAGACTCAAAGCAGCTATGTGTCTATTATTAATATTAGAATGTATTATTATTATTATTGATATGCACAAAGGAGACACAAAGCAGCTATGTATCTATTATTAATATTATTATTTTATTATTAAAAATAAATATTATTATGCTTATTTACACCCTGCTTTTTCTCTCCATAAGGACTCAAAGCAGCTATGTATCTATTATTAGTATTATTATCATTTTATTATTACAAATAAATATTATTTTTTTTATTTACACCCTGCTTTTTCTCTCCATAAGGAGACTCAAAGCAGCTATGTGTCTATTATTAATATTAGAATATATTATAATGTATTATTATTATTATTATTATTATTATTATTGATATGCACAAAGGAGACACAAAGCAGCTATGTATCTATTATTAGTATTATTGTTAATTTATTATTGATAATAAGCAGCTATGTGTCTATTATTAGTATTAGAATGTATTTTAATATTTTTATTATTATTATGCACAAAGGAGACTCATAGCAGCTGTGTATCTATTATTAGTATTAGAATGTCTTCTAATATATTATTATTATTATTATTATTATTATTATTATTATACACCAAGGAGACTCATAGCAGTTATGTGTCTATTATTAGTATTAGAATATATTATAATGTATAATAATAATAATAATAATTGATATGCACAAAGGAAACACAAAGCGCTATGTATCTAATATTAATATTAGAATGTCTTCTAATATATTATTATTATTATACACCAAGGTGTATTATTATTCACCAATATTAGAATATTGATATGCACAGACACAAAGCGCTATGTCTCCTTTGTGCATATGTATCTGTTATTAATATTAGAATGTCTTCTTTTATTTTAATATTATTATTATTATTATTATTATTATTATTATTATTATGCACAAAGGAGACTCATAGCAGCTGTGTATCTATTATTAATATTAGAATGTCTTCTGATAAATTATTATTATTATACACCAAGGAGACTCATAGCAGTTATGTGTCTATTATTAGTATTAGAATATATTATAATGTATAATAATAATAATAATAATTGATATGCACAAAGGAAACACAAAGCGCTATGTATCTAATATTAATATTAGAATGTCTTCTAATATATTATTATTATTATACACCAAGGTGTATTATTATTCACCAATATTAGAATATTGATATGCACAGACACAAAGCGCTATGTCTCCTTTGTGCATATGTATCTATTATTAATATTAGAATGTCTTCTTTTATTTTAATATTATTATTATTATTATTATTATGCACAAAGGAGACTCATAGCAGCTGTGTATCTATTATTAATATTAGAATGTCTTCTGATAAATTATTATTATTATACACCAAGGAGGCTCATAGCAGTTATGTGTCTATTATTAGTATTAGAATATATTATAATGTATAATAATAATAATAATAATAATAATAATTGATATGCACAAAGAAGACACAAAGGGGCTATGTATCTATTATGAGTATTAGAATGTATTTTAATATTTTATTATTATTATTATGCACAAAGGAGAATCATAGCAGCTATGTGTCTATTATTAGTATTAGAATATATTATAATGTATTATTATTGTTATTATGCACAAAGGGGAATCAAAGCAGCTATGTGTCTATTATTAGAATATTATAATGTATTATTATTAATATGCACAAAGGATACTCAAAGTGGGCTATATATCTATTATTAGAATGCCTTATTATTAATAATTAGAATGTATTATTATTAATATCATTATCTATAAGGAGACACAAAGCGTCTATGTATCTATTATTAGTATTAGACTATATTATGATAAATTATTATTATTATTAATATGCACAAAGGAGACTCAAAGCAGCTATGTATCTATTGTTAGAATGCCTTACTATTAATAATTAGAATGTATTATTACTAATATCATTATCTATAAGGAGACACAAAGCATCTATGCATCTATTATTAGTATTAGACTGTATTATGATAAATTATTATTATTATTAATATGCACAAAGGAGACTCAAAGCAGCTATGTATCTATTATTAGAATGCCTTACTATTAATAATTAGAATGTATTATTACTAATATCATTATCTATAAGGAGACACAAAGCGTCTATATCTCTATTATTAGGATTAAAATATATTATGATGCATTATTATTATTAATATGCACAAAGGAGACTCAAAGTGGCATGTGTCTGTTATTAGAATGCCTTATTATTAATAATTAGAATGTATTATTATTATCTACAAGGAGACACAAAGTGCCTATGTAGCTATTATTCGTATTATTATTGTGGCTTAGGATAAGAGCATGTCAGAACCGTTTAAAATCCAAACGTGCACAAACGTTAATGTAGAATTAACCATCCCTGTGGGCAGCTGCTGTACCAGGAGGTCCCGGAAGCGCATCCGTCCTGCTTCCTGCGCACCAGCATCACTCCCACCAAGAAGGTGGAGATGGACCGCACCATCATGCCTGACGGGACCATCGTCACCACCGTCACCACCATCCAGTCCCGGCCCAAGGCGGACGGCAAGCTCGGTGAGGCAACATCGCAGTGGGTTGGGGGGAGGGCTGGGTGCGGGACACGGGGTGACCCCCAGTCTTCTGACCTCTTCCCCCCTCCCACCCCCAGACTCGCCCTCCCGGTCGCCCTCCAAGGTAGAAGTGACAGAGAAGGTGACCACCAGGTTCCCCCAGGACGGCCGACAAGGTGGTACTTCCCCCACCAGCAGCAGCCGTGAGTCAGCATTATTATTATTATTATTATTATTATTATTATTATTATTATTATTATATTTATTTATACTCCGCTTTATCTCCTCAAAGTGGACTCAATGCAGCAAATGAGATCTATATGCTGGATTTCGTATCACAAAATCACAAGTTGAACACTTCCCAGGTGTCTAGAACTGTATGATTTATTATTATTATTATTATTATTATTATTATTATTATTATATAGAACACATATTTCATTACTCTATCCCCAGCAATAC